GCGTTAAACAAGAAACAAACAACTTGTTCTACAATTTCAAATATTGTTACGTACTGACCAAACAAAGGGTTATAATTTTTATCAGCGTCACAATTAAAACTGTATAACTACATACTTATATTTAACACTGTATGGTAAGGGATAGACTAAAATCTAGTCTCTGAAATGAACATATCGTACATAAAAAAACAGTTGTTCAGTTATCTTAATAAAAATATAATAAAAAGGAGCCCAGTGACTCTCTTCATTTTCAGATACTGCAGTGATCTAGACTTGCCAAACATTATAGACTTGCATGGGCTGTATTTGATATATATTTGTATCAGGGTCTGTAAGACAGACTAGGTAAGGGATATCAGGGCGTTACGACAAGCCTTTTTGAATCGAACCCGGTCTTCAGTGAGACTAACACTTGTCCCACACGGCTACCTAATTGTCCAGTCATTCAAACGTAAGACAGGGAAACGATTACGCCGTGTTTCTATCGATGGTTCTTAAATCAAAAGCTGTTATTAATATGTTGAAGACAATCCCGACGTAAGAAGATTGGCAACAACGACTACACAAATCCGTCAACTCAGCGTGCCTTGTTAAGTCATGTGCCTGGAGTTAATGCCCAGTAATCACCAAGAGGCTTATTGCCGTCATATTACACACATCAATGTGGAGTCACATCATGTACTGTAATCGCTGTAACGTCCTATTATCTGGTAGGTAACACCTGAGACACTGTGACCCACAATAGGCAACCACGTGGTGCTCGGTTTTCGCGGAGATCAGTTCCGTTCGTACTCGATTATCCAGAATATAATACATACATTCTATTGTGATAAAGAACTACTGTTACTACTACTACTACTACTACTACTACTACTACTACTACTACTACTACTACTACTACTGCTGCTGCTGCTGCTGCTGCTGCTCCTACTTCTTCTACTACTACTACTACTACTCGGGGTAGGATAGGTCTTCAACAACCCATGCTTGCCGTAAAAGGCGACTATGCTTGTCGTAAAAGGCGACTTCCGGGATCGGGTGGTCAGACTCGCTGACTTGGTTGATGCATGTCATCGATCCCAATTGCGTGGATCGATGCTCATGATATTAATTAGTGGATTGTCTGGTCCAGACTCGATTATTTACAGACCGCCGTCATATAGCTGGAATATTGCTGGGTGCGGCGTTAAACAACAAACAAACAAACAAACAAACTACGACCACTATCACTATTGCTTCAACTGATACTGCTACTTCAGCTACTACTTCTGCTACCACTACTATTGCAACATATACCACTACTACAGTTACTACCACAACTACTACTACTACTACTACTGCTGCTGCTACTATGGATACTGCTGTTATTTATACTGTAATGCTATTACGACAGTTGCTGATGTTACTACTACTGCTACTACTGCTGCTACTATTGATACTGCTGCTACTATTGATACTGCTGTTATGTATACAGTAGTGCTATTGCGACAGTTGCTGATATTACTACTACTTCTACTACTGCTGCTACTATTGATACTGCTGCTACTATTGATACTGCTGTTATGTATACAGTAGTGCTGTTGCGACAGTTGCTGATGTTACTACTACTTCTACTACTGCTGCTACTATTGATACTGCTGCTACTATGGATACTGCTGTTATTTATACTGTTGTGCTGTTGCGACAGTTGCTGATGTTACTACTACTTCTACTACTGCTGCTACTATTGATACTGCTGCTACTATTGATACTGCTGTTATTTATACTGTTGTGCTATTGCGACAGTTGCTGATGTTACTACTACTTCTACTACTACTGCTGCTACTATTGATACTGCTGCTACTATTGATACTGCTGTTATGTATACAGTAGTGCTATTGCGACAGTTGCTGATGTTACTACTACTTCTACTACTACTGCTACTATTGATACTGCTGTTATTTATACTGTTGTGCTATTGCGACAGTTGCTGATATTACTACTACTTCTACTACTACTGCTGCTACTATTGATACTGCTGCTACTATGGATACTGCTGTTATTTATACTGTTGTGCTGTTGCGACAGTTGCTGATGTTACTACTACTTCTACTACTGCTGCTACTATTGATACTGCTGCTACTATTGATACTGCTGTTATTTATACTGTTGTGCTATTGCGACAGTTGCTGATGTTACTACTACTTCTACTACTACTGCTGCTACTATTGATACTGCTGCTACTATTGATACTGCTGTTATTTATACTGTTGTGCTATTGCGACAGTTGCTGATGTTACTACTACTTCTACTACTACTGCTGCTACTATTGATACTGCTGCTACTATTGATACTGCTGTTATTTATACTGTTGTGCTGTTGCGACAGTTGCTGATGTTACTACTACTTCTACTACTGCTGCTACTATTGATACTGCTGCTACTATTGATACTGCTGTTATTTATACTGTTGTGCTATTGCGACAGTTGCTGATGTTACTACTACTTCTACTACTACTGCTGCTACTATTGATACTGCTGCTACTATTGATACTGCTGTTATGTATACAGTAGTGCTATTGCGACAGTTGCTGATGTTACTACTACTTCTACTACTACTGCTACTATTGATACTGCTGTTATTTATACTGTTGTGCTATTGCGACAGTTGCTGATGTTACTACTACTTCTACTACTGCTGCTACTATTGATACTGCTGCTACTATTGATACTGCTGTTATTTATACTGTTGTGCTATTGCGACAGTTGCTGATGTTACTACTACTTCTACTACTACTGCTGCTACTATTGATACTGCTGTTATTTATACTGTTGTGCTATTGCGACAGTTGCTGATGTTACTACTACTTCTACTACTACTGCTGCTACTATTGATACTGCTGCTACTATTGATACTGCTGTTATTTATACTGTTGTGCTATTGCGACAGTTGCTGATGTTACTACTACTTCTACTACTACTGCTGCTACTATTGATACTGCTGCTACTATTGATACTGCTGTTATTTATACTGTTGTGCTATTGCGACAGTTGCTGATGTTACTACTACTTCTACTACTACTGCTGCTACTATTGATACTGCTGCTACTATTGATACTGCTGTTATTTATACTGTTGTGCTATTGCGACAGTTGCTGATGTTACTACTACTTCTACTACTACTGCTGCTACTATTGATACTGCTGCTACTATTGATACTGCTGTTATTTATACTGTTGTGCTATTGCGACAGTTGCAGATGTTACTACTACTTCTACTACTACTGCTACTATTGATACTGCTGTTATTTATACTGTAGTGCTATTGCGACAGTTGCTGATGTTACTACTACTTCTACTACTACTGCTGCTACTATTGATACTGCTGCTACTATTGATACTGCTGTTATTTATACTGTTGTGCTATTGCGACAGTTGCTGATGTTACTACTACTTCTACTACTACTGCTGCTACTATTGATACTGCTGCTACTATTGATACTGCTGTTATTTATACTGTTGTGCTATTGCGACAGTTGCTGATGTTACTACTACTTCTACTACTACTGCTGCTACTATTGATACTGCTGCTACTATTGATACTGCTGTTATTTATACTGTTGTGCTATTGCGACAGTTGCTGATGTTACTACTACTTCTACTACTGCTGCTACTATTGATACTGCTGCTACTATTGATACTGCTGTTATGTATACAGTAGTGCTATTGCGACAGTTGCTGATATTACTACTACTTCTACTACTGCTGCTACTATTGATACTGCTGCTACTATGGATACTGCTGTTATTTATACTGTTGTGCTGTTGCGACAGTTGCTGATGTTACTACTACTTCTACTACTACTGCTGCTACTATTGATACTGCTGCTACTATTGATACTGCTGTTATGTATACAGTAGTGCTATTGCGACAGTTGCTGATATTACTACTACTTCTACTACTGCTGCTACTATTGATACTGCTGCTACTATGGATACTGCTGTTATTTATACTGTTGTGCTGTTGCGACAGTTGCTGATGTTACTACTACTTCTACTACTACTGCTGCTACTATTGATACTGCTGCTACTATTGATACTGCTGTTATTTATACTGTTGTGCTGTTGCGACAGTTGCTGATGTTACTACTACTTCTACTACTGCTGCTACTATTGATACTGCTGCTACTATTGATACTGCTGTTATTTATACTGTTGTGCTATTGCGACAGTTGCTGATGTTACTACTACTTCTACTACTACTGCTGCTACTATTGATACTGCTGCTACTATTGATACTGCTGTTATTTATACTGTTGTGCTATTGCGACAGTTGCAGATGTTACTACTACTTCTACTACTACTGCTACTATTGATACTGCTGTTATTTATACTGTAGTGCTATTGCGACAGTTGCTGATGTTACTACTACTTCTACTACTACTGCTGCTACTATTGATACTGCTGCTACTATTGATACTGCTGTTATTTAGACTGTTGTGCTATTGCGACAGTTGCTGATGTTACTACTACTTCTACTACTACTGCTGCTACTATTGATACTGCT